CCTCCTCCTCCTCCTCCTCCTCCTCCTACTCCTGTCCATCCTCCTCCTCCTCATCGCACTCCTGGTCCTCCACCTCCTCCTCCTCCTCCTCCTCCCGCACCCGGGTCCTCCTCTTCCGCCTCCTCCTCCTCCGCCTCCTCGTCCTCCTCCGCCTGCTCTTCCTCATACCACCTCCTCGGCCCCCACGGCCCCAAAGAGTCCCAGCCCCGTCCCCAGATCCGTCTTTGCTGTGTCATGATGCCAGAACGCGGCACCGAAGGCCGAAACCGAGGAAACGCACCAGGGTTGAAAGATTCGTACCCTCGGAGATCAGGGCCCTCCGCCGCCTCCTCCTCCTCTTGCTCGTTCTCCTCCTCCTCCTCCTCCTCCCCCTCCTCCTCGTCCTCCACCACGTCCTCCGCATCCTCCTCTGTCTTCCCCTCTATCTCCTCCTCTTCATCTCCCTCCTCGTCCCCCGTCGCCTCCTCCCCGTCCTCCTCCTCCTCCTCCTCATCCGCCTCCTCCTGCTCCTCCGCCTCCTGCTCCTGCTCCTCCTCCTCCTCCTCCTCCTCCTCCTCCTCCTCCTCCTCCTCCGCCTCCTCTTCCTCCTCCTCCTCCCAATCCTCCGGAACCCCCCTGCTACTGCTGCTGCTCCTCCTCCTCCTCCTGCCCCAACGGCCCGAAAAAGTCCCGACCCCTTCCCCAGATCCGTCTTTGCTGCGCCGTGATGCCATAACGCGGCACCGAAGGCCGCATGCATTAACTTAAAGCGAGCGCGTTACGTTAGGAGGAGGGATCAAGGAGAGGAGGCCGGCGAGGGGGGGGCTGTGCCCATCCGAGGGAACGGGGCAGCCCCCCCCGCCCCAAAAAAAGTTTGGGCCCCCCAAGGCCCCCCCCGCTCCACGAATCCCATTGGGGGGTCGAGATCCCCGCTCTGCAGTGGGATTCGCGGAACGGGGCGCCCCCCAGGTGCCTCTTATCTTCGCGCTGGCGCCGGCAGTGTGCACCTGAGGGAGCGTGGGTTGAAGTGAGTGAGGGATCAGGAAGGATGTGGAGGGGCGTTCCGCTCTGAAGCGTCCTCACAATCTGGCAAAACCGCAACCCCTCCCCGGGGGCACCGCGCGTGCTGGACCAGGCACATGCGTCGCCCTAAGTCGGCGCGCACATATGGGAGGCCCATGTCTGTCCACCGAGAAGACCACGGAGAACCCACCAAGAAAACCTGTCCCCCCGGAAGGTCCGACATGGCGAGCAGGAGGCCCGAATAATTCGTCCTAGGGGCTCCCCAGAAGGGCGCGCGCAGCCTTCCTCAAAGCCCTCGTGTGCACGACCTTGGCCGAAGGCTATCAGATATGCAAATACAATAGTTCATGCAGGAATCCTTCCCTTGACCGCCCTCCGCGGCCGGGCGCAGGCGCGGCCGGTCGGGGCAGCCGGCCGGGGCAGCCGGCCAGGGCAGCCGGCCGCCCTCCCCTCCTCGTCCTTCTCCTCCTTCCCTCCTCCTCCTGGTGGTCCTCCCCCTCC